CAGGAAGACTGTAGTTCTTAAAAAAAGATTCAGAAGTAGTATTTGTATAAATTAGGCATGAAATCTGATGAATCATGCTGATAGTCTGAATTGTACCACAAAAGTATTATCAATGACTTAGAGAACAGAAGAAAACATGCAGCTGTTAAATAATATACGCCAGTGATGAATTATTAGTTTCTTCAGGGAAAACTGTTTTTTTTTATTTAATATATAAATTCGTTAGTGGCCACTTATTATTCTGAGTATGCATGAAGTACAGATGCTTTTTTCTCTGTGCAGCAAACACTGCAGAACAGTAGATTTTCACACTGAGATCAGATTTGCAGAGTAGAGGTTCTAAGAAAAGAATATACATTTATTAAGAATCACTCTGTAGAAATATTTTCTAAAGAATCATCTATACCATACAGTAGGTCAGTTTTATTTAAGATCAAATTCAGCAGAGGTTCATATTAATGGCTTGGCCATTGTTCGATCTTTTTAGCCCATCTGTAAGTGTGCATGCTGCAAGATTCAGACTTGCCTCTTGGCAATGAGCTTTCATAAAAAGCATAAAATGAAAGTGTGCTTCCTTTCACTTTTCCCTTTCTAGGTGGAGCACACGATGACAGAAATAAATCTCGTCCTGTTGTAATAACATGTGTTAGACCCGGAGGGCCTGCTGACAGGTACAATTAGTCTTTCTCTGAAGTGCATGTGAAAGAGAAATGGAGAAAGGTGAATTATTTGGGACAGAAGTTAGGATTTGGAGTGAAGTAGGTATATTCAAACCTGTTCCTTTGAAATCCATGGTTTATGCATTTAATTCTGATAATAATAACAGTAATAGGCAACCACAGAGGCTCGCCACATCATGGTGTGTGTGAACTTTCATTCAGTATGTTGCATGTTTCAAGACTTTCCCATTAAGCGCTTAAAAAAATGAACCTAACATTATAGAACAAATGCCTGCAATAGGTCAGAGCACATTTTTTTGCAGCCTTCAGACAACTGATGTAGCTCTTAATTACGCTTTTTATACTTTTAACACCATACTCTTTTTCTCTCACACTTCAGGAAAATACTGTCATGTGTTTGGATGTTGTTGTGTTATTATTTTAAGATATTTGTACATACCTGCATGTGAGTTCACACATAACTTAACCTGGACAACTCCTGAGTACATATTTATGTTTTCGCCCAATGTTTGTATGTCTTACCATCTTGTATCTATATAAAGAAAGAATATTCACTTTATTTATATGCATGAATTATGCTTTCAAAAATTGAATTTGTGTCCTTAAACCATTAAAGAAACTTAAAGGGCAATTTCTTTAAAGCAGGCTGTTTTTCTGTAGCTTATGTTGACATTTTTGACCTTGGAAATATTAGTTGAGAAGCAAGTGTTTCAAGAGAGCTTTTGTCTTTTGTCCCCCCCTTTCCTCCCACCCTCATCCCCCTTGCTTCCTTGTTTTTCTCCCTGATTCTTGAGCTGACAACGTTAGTACTTCATTTTGTATTATAATTCTGAATACATTATGAGATACACCTGGGAGGCAGTGCACCTTTATAGCCAAATCATTTTTAGGTAGGAAGAAAATAAAAATTGAATTATCCAAGTAAGGGATGTTTTTGAAGAAAATCGGTAAACAGACATTCGTCTTTTGCAGTCTGTTTCTTCACCCATGTGTTTGCACCTCGTATTCATTTTTAAGAAAATACTGGGAGAGTTTATGTATGAAAGAGGAGTTGTGCAGACAAGGCAGAAAGAAAGCATATGTTGACGCAGAAGCTATACTTAGTTGCAATTTAACATGACTTGATTATTTTGCTCTGTGTTAAGCTGTTTTCCAGTCGCTGACTTTCCAATTAAAGCAATTTCCTTTCCTCTGCGCCCTCTGAATGTTCTCACCGTCAAAGTAAATGTTAAGTGTTAAGGCAAGAGGGACGGATGTCAGAGAGGGTGTGAGAGAATCGCTTTGCATAAAAATGGTATTATCTCCAAATCATTTTATCTTACATTAATAAAGATCATTCCTTTAATCTCCCTTCAGAGAGGGCACGATCAAACCTGGGGACAGGCTGCTGAGTGTTGATGGGATCCGACTGCTGGGAACAACACATGCTGAAGCCATGAGCATTCTCAAACAATGTGGGCAGGAGGCGACTCTGCTGGTTGAATACGATGTCTCAGTGATGGGTAGGTTGAGAAGTGGGGCTTGAGTTCTGGAAACCATCTGTGATGTTTTGCTGTCCGTTCTTGATGAGCTATTTTGGAAGTGATCGTGACCTGTTACGCTCCTAGTAGCACTGCTATTCCCTTCCGCACCGTATCATTAATCTTGGGTTCATAAGGAGGTGAGCAGTATTTTACTGTAATTTAGCATTCTGACATTTCATGGTTTGTAGAGTGAAACCATAGTGTGGATTCTAGCAAAGTAACTTTTCCAGTGACTAGTTTATAATAAAGGTTAATGAAGTGTGAGCATTTCGATGTCACATGAAAGAAGGGTTTACTTGCTCTTACAGGAATTCTTTTGCCTTTTGCCATTGCTTCTAGGTGGCCAAGACATTATTAAAAAGTCACAAAATGGCCACACAGAGAAGAACGGGGATGAGAAAATTTGTTAAGAAATGCAGAGGTGGCAAATCATGGCTTGAAAAATGAGTTTATGCTTTATACAAACTCTGATTGAACTCACTGAAGATATGGGAGGTTTTTTTGGAAAGTCAAGGAGAGCAGGTGATTTTTCATAACAGATTTGGGATTGAGTTATTTCCATTTGTTTTGGAAGGTGTCATCTCCCCTCCATTCTTGCAAGATACAGAAAATTCATGGCAGCAAGAAATAGAAATACTCACCAGTCAGACTGAAATATTTCTTCTCTGTTTGGGCATCTTTCTCTTCTTTTCCTCCTTAGTCCCACAGTCAGATTTCTAGCCTAGCAATAAAGCAGCCTAACAGGAATTTGTGAAATAGCACTGTCAAATTTCAAAGCCTTGGAAGAGATTAATACTTAGAAGAATAACGTCAGATATTTGTTTATTCTGGAACAGCCCTCTTTGTTCTTCTCTGAGACACAGATGATGATGATGATGATGATGATAATGGTGATGATTACCATTATCATTATTTATATACCTTTGTTTACTTAACTATCAAGAACAGAGTGATAGGTTTGCATGGCATCTGGCAGGCCTGCTGGACACTCATGCAAGGTTCACATCTAGAAAGGTGGAGACACCTCAGCATCTGTGCAGAAACCTCCCATGTAGAAAATGGAAATGTAGGTGACCTTGTAACCTGAAAAGGACTAGAATTTAGATGTTTTTAATTATTTCTTCTCTTTCTTTGGAAGGTGATGGATGACTAAACCCTATCTGTCATCACAGTTAGAACCAGGTTCTTTATGCTTTATGCTTTCTCTAAGAGTGAGATCTCATTGAAAAAAAGAACCCCTGGCTTTAGACAGACGAAGCTCCGAGTGAGGCTTTCATTTCAGAGAGAACTCCCAAACCAAACTCCTATACACCCCAGGGAGGCAATCAGCCCCAATTTCATTGCGGATCTTTCAGAAATCTTTGCAGGTTTGTGTGAGGACAAGACCGCATGATGAGAAGCTCAGTTGTGCTCTAAATTGCAGGTTGTTCAAGGCAGGAACCTTCTTTTCAGTGTTATCTGGATAGAGATCAGCTCAGGAGGATACAGATCTTAGCTGGAAATTGCAGGCTTATAGCTGTACAGGCAGTACCTACCAGTCGGTCTCTTCATGTCATTCTCTCTCTGAATAAACTCTGCTATCTCCCTTTTGTTCTCAGTAACAAACCTGGATTTATTTACTGTTCCTTCCTTCCTGGCAATGAATGTGTTATCCTGGGGCAACTTAAGGAGGTGAAAGAACCTGAGACTTGTGGAGTCAGAAAGAAGGGAGGAAAAGGGAATCAGACACTGGGAAATGTGTGGGGTGGTGGTCCTGCAGTGTCTGCGAAAAGCAAGGAGGGATCCAGTAGGCTGTCTTTCTACTGCGTTATGCTTTTGTTAGATTTTATCTAGCCCCAGTAGGTTTCAACTTTTTCCAAGTTGCATGTCCTGCATAGTTTTCCGGCAGGGGTGTGAAAAATTTTGTTGGGAAGCTTTCTTTGCTTTTTGCAGTTATGTTATGACCATGGCAGAAAGGCTGAAAATCACTCATCCTAATCCTTCCATTCCTGGCCCAGGAAAATGGTGCTGATTTGAATCTTCCCTTCTGCTCAAGAGCGGTGAAGTCAAAGTTGGGAGTAACGTGAAAGGAAGGTTATGAGCCATGAACAGAAATTTAAGAATTACAGAAACGTTACTCTGTTCCCCAACTCTTATGTTACCCACAAGACAAGCTCTTTGTAATGTCACCTCAGGGTTGGTGTGAATATGAAAATAGGCTAAAACAAGAGGAGAAGCATCGGGGTATGGTGGCTTATCAATAACTGATGCTTGAAACTAGTTTAGTAGTTTAGCCTCCTGAGATGGGGCAACAGTCCAAAAGTTACACAGAGGTCTGGTGCATTCTGTAGGGTCCTCCCGGTATAGACTTTCAGTAAAGTATTGTACTCCCAGAGATATAATTGTACCACTACTTGCTTTAATATCTTCTCTTCTGTTAGCAGATGGTTATATCCCATAAAGTAGCGTTCCATGTGGCCAGAACTGGAAAGAGCCATAAAATAGATTCTGATAGCATGAAATTGGAACTTAATTTGAAAAGGTTACACTAGATGAAGAAAATAATCCTGAACTATTTTTCAGCTACAGCCCTGTAGTGTGTAACTGACTTTTTGTACTCCTGTAAGCATAAGCTGTTTCAAAGGTGCTATATTTCTTGAAGTTTAATTCCTTCGCCTGAAGCCTTCAAGAGGTCACCTGGGAAGCTTGTACATTTTATTGTTTCTGGAACCTAGACAAACTGGAGTAAAAAAAAAAGGGTTCTGTGCAGGTAATTAAGTGTGTATATAATGTAGGAGATGTGGCTAGTCCCACTGAACTCTCTGGGGTTACACTTGTGCTTGCTTAAATACATCCTGAAGTATTCTGCTCAGCTGGGTCCTAGGAAATAAACTTGTCAATTCAACTTCTTGGAAGAGATGT